GTGTCTGAATTGTTCCTGTACAGATGCAATAAAATGAAGATCTCAAATGCGCCTGTACACAATTGAGAATATGGCAACGATAAAGAGGCACTGTAGGGCGAGAAACGACATTAACTCAAAGAATACGACCATAAATAAAGACAAGCATGCTATGAAGTGAGTACAACGTACTCTTTTTTCTATCAACTTTCATGCTTATGAATGTCGTATAACGAAAATCTTTTCACAGACTAAAGTGCTCTAATACAGAAGATCTTCTTCCATTTACAAGATAACCTCCATTGCGGCATTTTGTGCAACACATACTTCCCAACGTGTATCTTTTGATCAGCATTTGAGTTCCTTGAGGATTTACAAACAGCAGCAATTGGTTGACAGAGCGAGCAGTTTTTGGGCATTAACGGCAACAGAAAATTTAGTACTAACCAAAAGGAAAAAATGTAAGGTTTTGACGAGCAAAAATTGTTTTTGGAAGGAAAATTCTTAACTTAACACTAATTGGTCGTCGCTGGACGCCAGTAAATTTGGACCAACCCTTTATAAGATTATATGACAGCCGCTCACATTTTTCCAGATGTTGTCCCATAGGAAATCATTTTCAGTTCAAAATATGGGCATATAATTTCGTCTTATTTCTGCATGCATTTTCAGCCAAAACTCTCCTTTTGGTTAAGAGGAATTCCATTCCAATGAAACTTTCTTGTCGTTGAACAAATGCTGGACACATCAAATCCAGCTTAATCTTAAAGCTAAGGGACATGTTGCGTTATCAATTCAAGGGAAAATTTTTTTTATTTAAGTTCCTGCTTATGCCTTTAAATGCACAGCACTCCATAAAAGAGCGGACGGCTGAAACTTTATTCGTCTTTTTTGAAAATTTACCAGACGGCGCAGCGTTCAATGGGATTCATAGCGCTGCCTACCTTGCATTTGAAGGCAGCAGCGAATTCAGGCTGATTGGCCAGCACTTGGTTTACCCTAAACAGTGGCTTAAAAGTTTGAAATAATTTAGCCAATCTAACGAACCGATAGCGCTCTGGAGCATGAACATTCGTGAGGATAAAATTGATTAGTTTGTCCGACGTTGCATGACCACACCAGCTCTGCACACAAAATAACAAAAATATCCTTACAACAAGCATATATTTTTATAACTTGAACAAAATTTATTGTCGTACCATCGCATATCCTAAAAAGAACATCTGTTCGTTGCTATAATGCTCCAGCCCTTTGACTCTCTTCTCTTCACCTCCACGCCTTCGCAAATAAGCTCTGTAGGCCTTGCAAACATCTTTCATACTGAAACATACAACTTTCCTTAGGATGAAAGGGCCTACCCTGTAAGCTGATTTCACACCACCGTTATCGGCGATATTCTCTCCCAAGGTAAGCTTTCCGTTTATATTGAGACCGGTTCCGGGCACCTTAATTTGCAGTTTTTGTTGGAACTAAGTAGGTTTTTTGCTGCTTTAAAAAAATGGTGCTTAACCTCAATTTTTGCATATTGCTTGATCATGCATTGAGCTCTCTCTTCAAACTTCTTCTTCACTTCCTCATCCCACCACTCACGAAGATTACCAGTGGCGTCAAACTGTCGTCCTAAAAGACTGAGTTTTATCACTGTCCTTCAGGGGAACTAGTTCTACTTGTCGCAAATCTTAAGAACTGTTGTGAAATGAACAACTAGGTGTGGTAGTCAGGGGGAGTTTTGTGGTACCTCTATCGTCAAATCCATGTGTTATTTCATGCCCGATGGTCGCTCCAATTCCAGCGTAATTTAAGGCTCTAAAATCAGTCACATAACTCACCTCTAAGTAAGCACTTTTACATAAATGGCGGAACCAAATGAATAGCAATTTTTGGAAAAACTATGTTCTGGTACTCGTAGCTACTACAGAATTACGTTCTTCTGTACTCTAAAGCATTTATGTTCTGTAGCTGCAAAGTCGCTTAAATCATATGTCGTTAATCTAACGGTTCCTTTGCGACCTTAAAATCTGTTCTGCTCGATCCAAGAAAATTTAACAAGAGGTTGATCTATGTAAAGTCTCCCGCGTTTATGCATTATCTCATGAAGTATAAGAGAGTTTGGCAAGAAACATTTCACAATATACCGGGAAACAGGTGGCCAATTCCACTAAATAGAATTCTGCAGGGACTAATTTGAGAATTAGCGCCAAAGACTTTTTGCTGAAATGCGAGGTGAGCAAATTGGCAATGAGAAATCATCTGTCTACTGTTAGGAGACAATAGTCATTAAATGCAATGAACAAATGAATTATCGTTCGAATTTTGCTGAAACGGATGCATCAAATGCACGCGGAGCAGCATCTAAACTCCTTTACTACCTAATGAAGAATGATAATAACAATGATTACTCGTCAAACGACACTTAGACGTGACGGCTGCGAATTCAATGCTTGCTTCCTCTTCCTAGATGTGACTTCTCATATGATCGTAGAGTAACAATGAAAAAACTTGTAGAAATTATTTTACATCTATGACTTCAAGAAATGATGAGGTTGAATTTGATTAGATATCACAACACATTTTCTACAATAACTGCCGATCTTCAATAGTAGTGATATATAATAACTGTAGCGATAATATTGAATGAAAGTCGGCTATTGCTCGCGGTTGCGGCTATCTCATTTCTCCTTCTCCTTAAAAAAGACATAGAAAAAACACTTGTTTTGCCAAAAAAGACAGTATTAACATAACTCTTTTTTTCTCATTCGAAGATTCAAGGCTTAAATCATGCAATATCAACAATACTCAACCTTTTAGATAATGCTGTGTCTAATTATTATTTTTATTTCCTCTAGTTTTCTCGTCCTTTTGGAGGCTGTTACACAAGTCAGATTTCTCCAGACTCATCGATTCAGGAAATGATGTTCTCATCTTGTCCATTCGCAGCATTATTGGTCTTCCTCGAAGTCTTTTCCCGGGAACCTCCAGCGATAGTGCTATTCTTATGGTGAGCCATCCCTTCACTTCACATGACCGTATCGCACTCTCTTCATCCATCTTTTCATAGGAACAGCTTTTATCTAAGAGGGAAACGACACTTGGTCAAAGCGGCTGTTCAAGAGTGATGCTTGGTGTTAAAGCATTAAACGCTAATCCAAGCCTTTTAAAAAACGCCAAAAGTGAGCTGCTTTGTCAATAATTGCTCTACAACAGTAATTTCAACCTGAAACAGCAAGCAGGGGGTATATTATTATAATAGATAGATATAATAGATATCTTTATCGATATTCAGCTTCAAAGCTGCTGTTTTAGGTCAAGGTTGAACTCTGAGCATTTATCAAACCAATGCTTAAAAATCTGTCAGCATTTTGCATTTTACATCTAGCAGCAATTATCCAGTCCTATTAGCAATTTTGACAGAGGACAAAGTCTAAAACCTTCTCCAAGGAGGCGCGTTGCAGATATGAATGTTGAAACTCGAAACACTGACTACATGTCTGTCATCCATATTCGCATATTACATTTAGCAACTTCTCATTTTTAACTGCCACTCTGACCAAGTATCTTTCCCTTGTTAGCTGAAACCCTGTCATTAAGATATGATTTAGCAGGATTATCCTGGTACTGTACAACGCAGCATTCCCGTCTCCATGATAACTTGCGTTCGTCTTTTCACGTACTTCCGATATTCACTGTCATACATAGCTGTTGACGACAATATATCTGTGAAATGAGCTGCACTTGCTTATCTCAAACTCTGTTTTATCCAGGCTGCACTCTTTTTAGCTAGCTGTCTTGAAGTTTTCCTTCAACAGAGTTCCACTTCCTAAATATCTCGCCATGTTGATTGCGTCACCATGGATGTATAAGCTATTCAGAATTTTCTCTTTTCCATATATTTTGTCGGAGTCGGAGTTCTCTGGAGTTGAGTCGTCCGACTCTAATTAGGTTTTCCATCTTTGTACAGCCCCGCTAAGTTCTCATCTATATTCTGTTCTCAGGATCAACATCTGCTT